ATCTATCCCAGCCACTGTTACTCTACTACAAGAGAACCCTACTAATCCAGGGACAATCATTTAGTCAAGTCAGCTTTATTTATATAGCACTTTTAACAATACAGATTGTGTCAAAGCAACTGAACAGCATTAATGAGGAAAATAGTGTGTCAATAATGCAAAGTGACAATAGTAAACACTCATTTTTCAGTTAAAGACAGTTCATCATTGAATTCAGTGACGTCATCATCCAGCTCAGTTCAGTTTAAATAGTGTCTGTGCAATCAAGTCGACGATATCGCTGGAAAAGAAGTGGAAATGAAGTATTATTTAAAATAATAATAATTTAAAAATTAATTTGAAAATAATATCATAATGTTGTGTAATATAATACTATAGACACAGCCAGTTTTACACATTGAAAGATTTATTTGTGATAAAATAATTGCTTTATAATTGTATTAGAGTCTTACACACATGCTGTACAGTTAATCTGAGTCGTGCATTAATTTGAGTGGTGACAGATATTATGGGAGTGGCTTGATGGAGCACAGGAGATGCAGATAACATGATCTTGACCCTTAGGAAACTTTAATTAATGCTGTCACATAAAATTACAAGAATTGCTAATTACAACACTGAAATAATAATGTAAAGCCTGTACATATACTAGAAATCGTGAATCATTTAAAAAAAATAAATAAAAACGGAGCACATTTGATTTATCTATTATAACATTTATGTAGTTTTGTTCACTTGGTTGTTTCCTTATAAATGTCCAGAAATTCAAGGTCAAGTTTTTTTGTCAGGTGTCTTTTTTTAATTAAAAGATGTCATTATGCTGCTGTCTTGCCGCCAGCCAATCGCTGCATTGCTGAGCGTGGTTTTAAGTATCGATACACCTGCCCTTTACGGGGAGCACGAGAACGTGCAGTAATCTTAGACCGCTTAATCCAGATATTTCAATCAAATCCGCAAAATTTTTTAATAACCAAATTAGCCAGAGATCAGTTATCACGATTAGAGTATCTGGCATGTTTCAAATCATCTCCGATGTATTAAGTGAGGTACTATGAACGGGCCCCTGAACAGAATAATACAATCAATACAACAAGGGAAACGGTGCAAAAGGAAAACAAAGTCCAAATTAACAGAAACCGTGACCGTAAGAGTACAATCATTATAGTGCACTTCTGTTTTTATGCTGCACACACATACAGTATATTAAAAAAAAACTGCCATTAAAAGCATGTTTCAAAAAATAAATTGCTGCGTATGTAGCCTTCTTAAGACTCACATCCAGATCACCCTGCATCAGCTAACTGTGTTGCATCCTACTAAAAGTAGTCAAATTCTATTAGGCCATATTTACAATTTCAAGCTTCCATTTCAATTAGCCAGTGTCAAGTGTTACAACCAGCAGTGGTCCTCATCTGTTTTATAATATATGGGGCATGTCAAATGTGGGACAAGTTGGCTTACACACTAATTAGCCAATGCTGACTGTGCCAAATTGTTATTAAAAGGTTAGTTCACCCAAAAATTAAAATTAGGCCATAAATTACTCACCCTCAAGTCATCCTAGGTGTATATGACTTTCTTCTTTCAGACAAATCCAGTCGGAGTTATATAAAAAATTGTCTTTGATCTTTCAAGCTGTTTAATGCCACTCAGCGGATGTTGCAGTGCTTCAGTCCAAAAGAAGTGAAATAAAAAGTGCCCCTCCATTAAATAAAAAAGTGTCTCTCACAGCTTTGGGGGGTGAACAAAGGCCTCCTGTAGCGAATCGATGCGTTTTTGTAAGAAAAATATCCATATTCAAAATGTAATAATCACTTTAATCTAGCTTGCACTCACTGTTGTACACGGAAGCAGCTCCGGGAGCATGACGTATGAGTTCAGCGCTGCGCATGCGCCAGTGAGTCTCGTGAAAACCATCGTTTGTTAACAGGAGCAAACAAACCTCTTGGTTTATATCGAAATCCTCTGACATTCTTCTTTACAAATGCTCATTTTGTACTTCTAATTAGTGACCGTTGTTATGTTATTTTCTCTCCCCTGCGCTTCCACATTCGTCACTTCTGAGCGGCACATGCACAATGCCGAACTTATACGTCATCCGCCTGGAACTGCAAGCTAGATTAAATTGATTATTACATTTTAAATGTGGTTATTTTTCTTACAAAATCGCATTGATTCACTAAAGGGGGCCTTTGTTCACCCCCCGGAGCCGTCGTTATTTTTTTTTAAGGAGGGGCACATTTTATTTCACTTCTTTTGGACTGAAGCACTGCAACACTCACTGAGTGCCATTAAACAGCTTGAAAGATCAAAGACAATTTTTTATATAACTCCGACTGGATTTGTCTGAAAGAAGAAAGTCATATACACCTAGGATGCCTTGAGGGTGAGTAATGCATGACCTAATTTTCATTTTTGGGTGAACTAACCCTTTAATTATATGGGCAATATTTGTCATTTTATATGCTAGCCACATTTGTGGCATCATATAAGGGCCACTTTAGGCTCACAGCCAGATTAGCCAGTGCTCACGGTGCCATATCTTTGCCAAAACTTGCCCAGATATATTTTACACCTGGGAAAAATGTATGGCATAATATAAGGGCCACTTTAAATTCACAGCCACATTAGCCAGTGCTTACCATGCCATATATTTGCCAAAACTGGCCCAGGTACGGTTTAGGATAACTGGGCCACATTTGTGGCATGATATAAGTGCCACTTTAGGCTCACAGCCACATTAGCCAGTGCTTACCATGCCATATATTTGCCAAAACTGGCCCAGGTACGGTTTAGGATAACTGGGCCACATTTGTGGCATGATATAAGTGCCACTTTAGGCTCACAGCCACATTAGCCAGTGCTTACCATGCCATATATTTGCCAAAACTGGCCCAGGTACGGTTTAGGATAACTGGGCCACATTTGTGGCCTCATATGTGGGCCACTTTAGACTCCCAGCTACATTAGCCAGTGCTCACTGTGCCATATCTTTGCCAAAACTGGCCCAGGTACGGTTTAGGATAGCTGGGCCACATTTGTGGCCTCATATGTGGGCCACTTTAGACTCCCAGCTACATTAGCCAGTGCTCACTGTGCCATATCTTTGCCAAAACTGGCCAGATATATTTTATACCTGGGCAACATTTATGACATCATATAAGGGCCACTTTAAACTCAAAGCCACATTAACCAGTGCTTACCATGCCATATATTTGCCAAAACTGGCCTCAGATATGTTTTATACCTGGGAAAATATTATGGCATAATATAAGGGCCACTTTAAATTCACAGCCACATTAGCCAGTGCTTACTGTGCCATATCTTTGCCAAAACTGGCCCAGATACGCTTTAGGATAACTAGGCCACATTTGTGGCATCATATAAGGGCCACTTTAGGCTCAAAGCCACATTAGCCAGTGCTCACGGTGCCATATATTTGTCAAAACTGGCCCAGATACAGTTTAGGATAACTAGGCCACATTTGTGGTATCATATAAGGGCCACTTTAGGCTCACAGCTACATTAGCCAGTGCTCACGGAGCCATATCATTGTCAAAACTGGCCCAGAATCATTTTAATGTACCTTGGCCACATTTGCTGAAACATATGTGGACCACATTTTGTTTACACCCTGATTAGCCTTTATCGATTGTGCCACATTTTTGCCAAAGGTGGACCACATTTGGTTGGCACTATTTGGGCCATATTCACTATTTACCACGTGGCCACCTTAGGGTCACATTCAGATTACACATTGCCGTGAACACCACATCTTTTCCTACAGAGGCCCACATCTGATTTGATAAATTTGGGACATTTTTGCTATTTTACATGTGGGCCACTTCAGGCATACATCCATTTTGTACGGGCCATAAGTATGGGCCATTTTGTACCGGCCATAAGGCCACCAGTGCCGTATCATTGCCTAAAGTGGCCCATATCCGCATGCTATCTGGGTAGGCTATTTATAGACGGTGCTGGATAGTAACTCATTACATGTAATCTGGATTACGTTATCAGATTCCAAAAATTAAGTACTTGTAATTAGATTATATTTCATTTTAAAGTACTCAATCAGACTACAGTTAATTTTTATTGATTGTATTACATATTCAAGCAATAGCAATAAATTATCATTAAAACACTTTTTCAAGTAAGCAGTGGAAAGTAATGCATTTCCTAATTTGTTGATATGCATCAAATGAGAAAAAAGGGAGCAGGAGGAAACAAAAGATCTGAAAAATAAGAAGAATAGAAATAAATAATAAAAATAACAGAATAAAGGCACAGGAACAAAGAGAACAAAACACATTAACTGACAAGTAAACACAATTAAACCAGAGGTCTGTTCTTCGTACATGAATTACATGGTTAGCTGGATTTTATTGTTGATTTTAGACAATCCAGGATTGTTTGGTTCTTCAAAGCTCATCCTGGAATTGCTTTCATAGCAACAGGTCTGTTAGCTCAATCCTGCTTGGGGGAAGCTTATTTCACGTTAACAGTAAATTATTTTGAAAATAATTAAAATGTTGTGTAATCTAGAATAATAGACTCATTGAGCGATTAATTTGTGAACGAATAATTATCTCATAATTTTATTGCAGTCATGAGCCATGCATTCATCTGAACAGTGAGCTTTTATGTTATGCATCACAGGAGATGAGGCCACTTCCCAAATCTCAACACACTTTAATGATGCACAATTGATTTACATCAGTTATGTCTTAAAATGGATCTTATGGATTAAGAGACTTTAATTAGTGCTGTCACGTACAACGAATCTGCTTCAAAATTAAATGAACTGCTAATTACAATACTCTTGACATTGAAAAATCCAAAGGTTGTACAAATTATTTTCTGCTTTAAAAATGTCCAGATTAAGGCATTTTAGTAGACAGTATATTAAGGCAGCATTTTTCAGCTGTATCAGTAATAATGTTTCACCCCTGTAGCTCATTTCTAATTGGTAAAGCTGATCAATCTTATGTTCATAGACTCTACAGACAAACTATCAGAGACTTCCTGTTGCCGGTGATGAAAGTGATTCTTCACATGAGAGTGTTGCATCTCCTTCACTGAACCGTGAGTAAATCACCCTCAGAAATGACAAACTGATGTCAAAAATAATAAAGTAATAGTTGAAATGGATTATAATTAAGTTTATCTCTAGTAGTTGTATAAATTAAGACGTATCTGCAAATTGTTTTTGAGAGTGAGATTCTTACACGATTGTTTTTAAGGTTGCATTTAAAATATGTCTAATAAAGTCAAGTCAAGTCAGCTTTATTTATATAGCGCTTTTAACAATACAGATTGTGTCAAAGCAACTGTACAGCATTACTTAGGAGAATAGTGTGTCAATAATGCAAAATGACAATAGATAACGTCTCGGTTACGTATGTAACCCTCGTTCCCTGAAGGAGGGAACGGAGACGTCACGTCGGAGGACCGACGAAATTGGGATCTCGCTTAGAGGGACCAATCTACTTCGAGTGTAAACTAAATGAGCCAATGCACATTGGCATGCGATTATTGCATCCAGCTGCTGCTGATCACAGCGTGAGTATAAGTAGGCAGCAGGTGCAGCGCATATTCAGGTTTTCGCGGAGGAGCGGAGCCGGTGACCCGGCCGCTCATGAGACTGCTTCGTCGAGGTAGTTGAGACTGCGAATGCTCTGTTCTCTCAAAGGAACAAGGGGTACCTCCGCAACTTACGTGAAGACACGGGGCAACAGGGACAGCCCGGAGGGCAGGACCTCGTACTGATATGCTCGTCCTTCGGACGCGAACCACAGCAATGGTCTGTGGTGCGGAAGGGGCGACACATCGGGCTCAAACTGATAAGCGATATTAACGACGCTGTTGTTTACAATACAACCGGAGCACATGCTGCTGAGGTGAGGGGCGGGACGTTTTGAAGCACACTAGAGGCAGTTTAGTCAATCACAACACACTGGGCTAGCTAACCAATCAGAGCCCATCACCTATTTCTGAGGGCGGGGCTTTATAAAAGAAGGAAAAGATCAGTGTGTTTCTCAGAGAAGGGACAGAGCGTAGTGGAATAAAGGTAAATGATGTGAAAAAGAATGCATTTTTTAATAAACGAAGCATTAACAGATGTTAGACTGCAACCCATAAACACAGTCAAGCCTAGAAAAAACCCAGTCAACCACCCCTTTAATTTAATATTCTAATCTTATCAGAAACGATTAATAACGAGCGGTGGATGTCAATCGGGAAAATTAACCGAAATGAGCATCCCTAGTTGCCAGAAATTGTGTCCCCAACTAAGCAAGCCACGGTCTGAAAATTGTTTCCTCTTGCCCCTACTAACTCCACCTACTTCCTTACCTGCACTAAATGCATAATTGCAATAATATAATAAGAGTCTCCATTCAAAAATTCATAACATTCAAAGAAAAATAACATACTCAAACAAAAACAAATAATACACAAATAATAATGATCAAACATAAACTTTAAATTATTAAATCAGTCCATTCAGTCTAAATTATGACAATAGAAATGGAAATGACTCCAACACAAATTCTCAGTGATAACTAACAACCTGTTTTTTATTTTTATTTTTTATAGGGAGTCATTAAAAAAACAGGGCCCTTGGCCTATTCATGAAAATTCTTAGAAAAATTCTTAGTTTTCTCTTTTTAAATTAAAGAAAAGATTATAGTAAAGAAAAAAACAATGAATCCAGAAAGCATCTTAGACATTCGTTCATCTTCAGAACACAAATTAAGATATTTTAGATCAAATCCGATGGCTCAGAGCAGCCTCCATTGACAGCAACGCCACCTAAACTCTCAAGATCCATAAAGGTACTAAAGACGTCATTAAAACAGTTGACGTGACTACAGTGGTTCTACAATAATTTTATGAAGCGACGAGAATACTTTTTGTGTGCAAAAACAAAACAAAAATAATAACTTTATTCAGCAATCTCTTCTCTTCCCTGTCATTATCCTTACGCCGTTAAAGCACAGTGAAGGCTTCTGTGTTCTATGTCCGAACACTGGCTCATTATCGGCCAAAGCTGCACATGTGAGCAGCACGACGCATGCGTGTAATGCTGGTGCAGGAGCCCTCCAATAATGAGCCGGCGTTCTGACGTAGAACATGGAAGCACTGGACGTAAACGACGTATGAGAATGACACATCAAATGCAAAAATAGATGTAAATGATGCAAGATATAATACAATAAATGCTCTAATATCATCACTGTCAGCGCTTTTCAGACATTTATTGGGAGTTTTTTTTTTAATCCAGTGTTTGGTGTCAGTTCTGATGTTTGTTTGCTTTTTTCTTTCATGAAAATCCACTTAATATTAGCTACACATTCAATGGCACTCTCCTCTAAAACAGTGAATATACAGTTATATGACAGTTACATGTAATTACATTGTCTGCAAATGCATTAAACCCATAGAATAGAATGTAGTAATGTTATGGCAAATATGAAAAATGTATTATAGTGTTATATTTGGTCTCCAAATCGTAAGTATCGGTTTAGGGAATAGTGCATCTGACCCATATCTAAATAGTTCTGTCTTAAATCAAAAGATTTAAGATGAAAGATTCAGGTGCGAAAATAATTAATATCTATAGTGCATGAGCACAGAGAGATTTGCGAGCGCACAGGACACAGTTTGAGTGAGAGGAGAGACACGTTTTAAGTGTGCGCACTCTCTCCAGGCGAGAGCAGCGTGTATCTGAGCGTCAGGTTTTGTGCGACAGCAAAGGAAATCCGCGTGCGAGAGGAGAGATTCATGCTCACGCATTATATTAATGTGCTTTCGCGCTACAATAATGCACTCTCGACATTTGTCATTAACAGCATGGTAAAAAAAAAAATTTAAATAAAGAATATATATACCTCTATAGGACTAATTGTGAATTTACAGCGTAAAAATAATTGACTTCATATTTGACATATATTTGGGAGTAAAATAATTTTCCTAAATTTGTTTTCTTCATCTGACTTTGGACCATTTTTAAGGGATCCGTCATGTATAACTGACGTTGTCCCATTAGGGTAAATTATTTTTGGCAAATTGTCTGAAATTTCATGCTTTTTCACTATCTGAAAAGAAGTGAAAAGGTCTTACTGTTTCAAAAAACATTAAAAATATTTATGAACATTCCATTTTTTTTCTTGTGCTGCTATATTTGATTTGGAACTCACGCGTGAAAATGTCTAAAACTTGACACATATTTGGATGCAATTTCATTGCCTGAAAACCATGCCTTAGTGTTTCAAAAGCATTAAAACAACTTGTGCAGTCATCATTGGAGGCCAGTATCTCCAGCATCATGTGTCAGTATAGTAATGCCAATAAACACTGGCATCTTTCCTGACCCTTTGGTTGTTGTTTGGATCACATCTTTCAAACTGCCATACAATTATGTACCCAAATGCCTGACTTCCACAACAACATATTCTTCATCACTGCCCTTCATCACCCTCATTGCTTCTATCCTCCCTGGTCCTCAACAACTTGTTTTATTACTACAACCTGATTTTCTGATGCACTCATATCACTATCATCAATACTTTCTGAAATAAGTACAGATTTGTCTCTCCATCTTACAAAAATGAACCTAAAACACATGCATAAAGGCTATTATACTGCCTGTCAACGCTGGTCAATAGTGCCAGCTACACAAAATATGCATCACATCACAGGACTTTGTCAGTTATGCATGACGCTCAGATTTGTTGGTCTCTGAGTTGTTGTTTTTATAAAAGTGCATTAAAAATGGCAAAAAAACGTTAGAAAACACATTTGGATGTACAATTATATTTTTATAAATTGAATTTATATGTATTTTCTAGTCTAAAATGAGCTCACTATGGAGCCTTGAGAGCATGTGACCTGACATGCTAATGTCTCCTTTACTACTTAGTTACCAAACATTTTAAGCACATGACTAATAAATTAAAATTTTACTGGTTGTAGGGGATATGTATATATGTATGTATGTGTGTGTGTGTGTGTGTGTGTGTGTGTGTGTGTGTGTAAGTATGGTAAAACGGAAACTATCATGCCTGTAATTTTGATGTGAAGGCTTATAATAGACTTAAAAAAATGTTTTTCCTTCTTGGACAACCAACCAATCACAGTCTTCAAAAGACTGTGTCATACCTAGCAACAGGGTCAGCTCTGCCTCCTCACTAAGATGAACGTTTTTGTCTTTTCCTCACTCAGAGTTGCTCTCAGATTGGTCCTGAATCACTTTTAAGCTAAGACTCCTAGTTAGAAATGTTTAAGCTATTAGGAGCTCTCTGAGAGGATTCTTAGAATATTTAAGAAAACGGGCCCAGGTCATTTCTTAATGAATCACATATTCTTGAGTATTTTGTTGTTTGCATATGCCTTGTAACAACAGCTTCATAAAAATAAACATGATATATTACCAATATTTCATGACATACAGTCTTGTTATCATATTACATTTAATTCAGATGAAAACTCACATAAGGATTTGTTTTGCCATGACAGCAAACATTTAGTAGCGGTGTGCTAAGCAGTATAGCAAATATTACAGTAAAGCATGCTGGGATTCTGTCCTGTTGACATCACACTGTTACAGTTAATGTATAAATGTATAAATGATGAGCAATGCAGACACAGATTACTGTTGCAATAATAAAATAATTCCTGCTCCTCACTGCCATATCACAGTATTCAGCTCATTTGATTAAATCTAGAAGTACTGCTGTAAATTCTACTGTCTTTCGCAAGCACTGAACCCCACCACAACCTTAAAAAACAAGGCATTCTCACACACACACACACACACACACACACACAATGCTGCTGAGGTGAGGGGCGGGACGTTTTGAAGCACACTAGAGGCAGTTTAGTCAATCACAACACACTGGGCTAGCTAACCAATCAGAGCCCATCACCTATTTCTGAGGGCGGGGCTTTATAAAAGAAGGAAAAGATCAGTGTGTTTCTCAGAGAAGGGACAGAGCGTAGTGGAATAAAGGTAAATGATGTGAAAAAGAATGCATTTTTTAATAAACGAAGCATTAACAGATGTTAGACTGCAACCCA